GATCTAAATTTAAAAGTAACTGACTACCTGGTATTTTTCAAGACCACGGCGAAATTGTTGTTTTTATCTGCTGTAAGAATTTTTTGCAAAAAGACAATAATTTTCAATAGGATTAGGAGGATTGCTTTAGTGAAATCTGCTTAAAAGAGTGAATTTTCCAGGGAACTAGAAGCATCACAATTCGAAAATTTCCTCCCCCTTCGGCGGCAACCATGGTGCCGCCTCAGGTAGTAACTATATATTTTGCCCGTCCCGATATAGAGATTTGACAAGACTATTAGGAAAGTCGGTTATTATCATACAGAGTTAGATTGATAAAATGTATTGCAGAGGTTTGTGACACCAGCTAAAAAGTTTCAGGCAATAATTTTTTAATCAGGTAAATTTGCATTCCACCCCCCCCCCAACGAGGCTTGCCTCGCGACGGCCCTGCCTGCTATATGGGGCAAATCGAATTTTTTTTTCTGTCGGCAATTTGACACATCCAGCGTCGGCAGTTACGGAGAATATAAACTTCGGCACCTTGAAGGTTTGTCTCTAGCGCCACTCCTGATGCTTAGGGGGTGAGTCAGGATTCTGGCGATAAGATAGGATATAAGTCATAATCCAGGGGGGGCGAGGGGGGCATTGACAGGCTCAAACTGCCCATTCTGTTTTTCTTCATAAAAAGACCATAAGGCTTTATCTGATATTGTATGACTAATATAAAAATGATATCCTTATCCTTCTTGAACATAAGAAATATTAATTAATTAAGTTAATGATAAGTCTATAAGTCCATGAATGGTAAAGAATATCTAAAGATGCTGAGAGAAGAACATAAAAAACAAGACAATTTCAGATATCACTCGCACTCATCCACACATATTTTAATTTACAATTATAAAGCCGTCCAAAATCAACTACAGAAATTTTGAAAACTAATTTCCATCACACCTTTTCTTTGCATGGGAGAAACCCAAAAGTTGATGTTTCTGGTGTTATAAACATGTATTTCGTTTTAACAGTTTTTAAGTAACGTTTTGTTTCTGGATTTCAAGACGTTCAAAGCTACAACTTGAAAGCTCGTCGACTTTTCATCCACGCTGATCTGAAGAATCCAACAAAAGCTTGTGCAACCATCTTGTACCTCCGTCGTGCCGATTTTTGCTTCAGTTCAAATTTCCTCTTCGATTCATCCATTTCATCAACGACGTACTGTTTCCCATGATCATCCCCAATTCTTGATCGCACCTCGTCCTCGATTTCTACCTCTGATAGATAATCAAATTCTTCTCTGAATGACGATAGCCTCGAGCCCATTACTGAAAATGAGTCTTCAAATTCCATCTGTGTTACAATCGTCAAGTCGAGATCAGTCTCTTCTTCATCTTCAAATTCTGAGTTTGTTTCGCATTTGTCGTTATATTCCAAATCCGATATTGCGATTGACTCGAAACTTGATCCCCACGATGAATCTGATCCACAACCGGATTCTACATCAGAAAAATCAATGGAAGAGCAATCTGATTCGAAATCCGATAGTACAGAGACGATTATCAAATCTGATTCTGGATCTGGGAAAAAATCAGAGGCAGATTCGAGTTCATAAGAATCTTTATCAATCTGTCCTTGGTGGATCATGGTTACGTCGTGGACCAGTGAATCGGATGTTACAGCATTGGTGGCGGAAAATATGTTGTAGCTTTTCGGCACCTGAAAAGAAGAATAAAAATCATAATCAATTCAGTTTGCGTCTGTTTCTTCATTTAGTATAAGGATTCAATTACCAGGATATGTGCAACATACATAAAAAACAAACTATACTTTATCTTAAAATAATTGATAACAGAGTGCAGAAGTAAGTAATTGAGAATAAGAAATGAAACTATAAGCTTGCAGAAAACAAAATTTGACAAGAATAGGTTGAAATAATCACTAACCATCTTTGTCTGGCATTCTCTTGGTGTCGATGTTGCAAATGGTTGGGAAATATCGAGACAAGGCTTGATATCTGAAAGGAAAGATTTGAAAGCTACTTTTAGAAGACCTTACTAGGCGTGAAAGCACTTTTATTAATTTTTTTGAGTTACAAAGATGTCAGTCCTTGTTATTCATTCTCTATAAATCTTCCTTTAAATGATTTTCAGTCAGCGTAAATAACAAAGCGAGATTACAAATACGTCAGTACTCGTCAGTACAGTGATCACATATTTGAGTATCATCATATAGCCATTCTAATAATTTTACAATCCATGCTTTGATAATCAATTTTTTAACACTTTTGCTTCAGAACACCAATAATTATTTTCAATACTTCACTCTCACCTGCAACTGTGTTGGTTCTCTTTGACCTTGTAGAAGAATTCAGTCTTTGCTTATTCTTCCAATTTCTTGTCAACGAACGCTTTGTGCATTTTGCTGTGTATTCTAAAAAGCAATTTCAAACATAGAAACAAATTTAACTTACTTTTTAGAATCGTTAAAATTACTTTTTTTGCATTTTTTAAATTCATTTAAGCTCCTGTTAAAAGGTTTACCAAAAGGACAGACAAAAAAGATATTCTTAACATCACTAGATCTTAGCATCATCAGTAGACGTTATCATTTGGATCTTAAAAAGCTTAGAAAATCAGAAAACACCTACAGATCATACTTTTACAAATATAACAAAACTGCCAGCAAAAGCATGAAAAGTAGAAGATTTAAAAACTCACCATCTTCAACACGGCATTTGGAAAAACAAATTCCCATCTTGATTTCGATTGGCGATCACAAGATGGCAGACGTCTCTAACAATGAATGTTGAAATGACTTCCCAAGATTTGGAAAATGTAAACTTTGCTTTCCTTTCGAAGATAACAGCAGCCAGTATTACCTCAGATGCTGAATCGATCTGAAATTCTGCTTTAATAACCGATGAATCGCCTTTTATATACAAAGAGCGTAACCAATAAATTTGACGTCACAATCTCAGATATGATCGCTGACGTAACAATTGAAAACTTGCATAGTAAAAAGAGATATGTAGCAAATTAAGAAATTTGCAGTGAAAGCAAATTTTAATGAATTTTACATTACCAGAAACAACTTTACGAGACGATGGTCTTGAAAAACACAAGCGGTACGGTGCTTCAAGGCAACGTATTACGATATGTAGAATCAAGAACTTCTAATTTCCAAGATGGCAAGAGTGAAAACTGTTTTTTCTGAACATGCTTTAACGAATGCTTTTCCAGAAAAATGGAAATTTACAAGGAGAAAAAGGGAGAGATGGTTTTTTTAGGAAGTTGGTTATTTGTAATAAAGACAATGAAACTTCTCAAAAAGTTATTGCAAGTCGATACAGCATTGAAAGAGAAGATAAGGACAAAGAGTGTAGGAATCTTTTTTTCAAGAGAAGTGCAGTTTTCTAGAAAAATATTTTTGAGGAGAAGATTATGAGATGTTGTGTGTAGTTGTTCAAATATCAAAAAACGGGCTGCCAGTATAATAACAAACAGCAGCTTTGACACCTCAAAGGGATTCTGTTATTGAAGGTCTTGGATAATAAGACTTTTTACAGTCTTTGCCCTTGCAATTAATATTTCTATCGCAAGGCCTCTTGAAAACCAGCTTGTGTTAGAGGACAGCCCTACTTAAAAGGAGAGAATATAAAGATATTAAATATATGTAGTTGTCTAGTTGGAGTTTGAGCGAAAAGCTTTTTCATTTCTTTAGATTTTAAAGTTAGAACATTGAATAGGTTGTAAACATTGACAATAAAGTTTTACAGCTTAATTTAATTAATGGCTTTTTCACTTTGAACCGGTATAATTAATATTTCATCGGAGGGCTTTTTTTAGATGTCTCATGTATAGATTAAATCTTCACAGTTAAAGATCTACATCTTCTCAAAACTGATAGACAAGTATTCACTTATGTGAAACATGTTAAATGTTTATCGTAGGAGACAAGGCCCCGTAAAGGCACGCCATCAAATGAGTTTTGCAAAGATGTTATTGGCACTCCAGTTGCTTCTTGTAGAATATTTAAGAGTAACACAGATCAAAGAGCAGGTGCATTGCAGTGGAAATGAAGCACGGGGTAACAGGACTGTTAAAGTATTCACTTAAACAGTCAGTATAACAACAATTTATTTCTACATGACTACAACCAACTGACGCTTGAAGAAGTGACGGATTGCCATATCTTGGTCTAATACAAAGTGATAGAGGGGTATTCGAAGCAGTTGGAAAACCAGTGTTAGTGAAACAAGACTGAACTTGTATTTTCCATTCGAGGAGAATGCCAAGAGAGGTGAGAAAAGTGTTGACAAAGCTACCTTCAAAAGGAATATCGTGTTCAAAGGTATTCCTGCTCAGTGGTGGCGCCAGAGGGGGGGCAGGGGGGGCTACAGCCCCCCCGTCGGAGGAGGCTAGCCCCTCCGTCGGAAGATAAATTATGCTTGAATTTTTTTTGTCGGAGCGAATTTTTTAAGTTTTGGCGGAAATAGAAATTTCTAAAAGGACTGTTATCAGAATTCAGGAAGCTCATCCCAAAACAACTCATCGACACATCAATTTCATGGTAAATAATAATCTGTTATAAGAAGTTTGAATTGGTTGTTTAGATGTTCAGTACCAGGTGTTTTCCGCATGCTGTTAAATTTGATCTTATGTTATGGATAGTGCAGTTCGTCCAAATCTTGCTTGCTATAACCAACCTACAACATCGGAATATTTTTGTGCGATAGCGATATGGCAACAAATGTTACCCGTTTCAGTGTTAGATGTAGTATATGTAATGACGTATTTAACAATGATTACGCTGCCCGCCACACGAAGTCCAAGCACAAAGATTTGGCTGCAATGGGAAGGACTGCTCCTACGACGGCAATAGTTGAAACGGACTCGCAGCAGAGAAAAATAAAAACATTTTTTCAATCAAAAGGCGGTACTTTTCCAAAGAAACGAAAGGTTAATGATTTTGAAACTGAAAGAACAACAGAAGACACAGATACGAACCCCGGTCGCAGAACAGAAGCTACTGGTTATCTTCTGCAGATTGACAGGAAATTTGTGAGATACCTGTTTGCCATCCGACACGTCTTGAACAAAGCCAAATTTGCGTCTGACATGTTGCAGAAACCCTCCAATGATTTGAGTCAAGCCATTGATCTCATTGCAACATTGAAAGATGAACTGGATGACTGTCAAAGCAGGGATAAGATTCAAGAGTTCTGGGATACTGCCGAAGAAGCAGCGGATCGCTTGGAATTGCCGGAAGAAAAAAGACCACCAAGAAAGAGGGCAACGCCTGCTTCTCTTCGAGAGTTTGTTGTGGAAGCATCTTCAGAGCCTCAAGTAGCAAGCGGGTTTGATGGCTACGTACAAAATGTCAAAGAAATACTAAACAGAACAACTGCAGAACTTTGCAAGCGGTTTGACGAAAAAAACATAAAGATCATGAAAGGCATAACTGCATTGGCCCCCAAGTCGAAAAGCTACTTGGACCCAACAACTCTTGTCAATTTTGCTGAGCTTTTTCAGTCTGAAATTGGTGCACTACGCAGTGAAATTGCCACATTTAAATATATGCTCTCAAGAAAAGAAGAAAAACACCGCCCAAGCACACTTCTGCAACTAGAGGCACACTTGGAAAAGCTAAATGAAGCTTTCTTTGAGCTGCACCGGCTTGTATCCATCGCATGCACTTTGCCAGTCTCTTCAGCCGAATGTGAACGCAGCTTCAGCTCTATGCGCCTCATCAAGAGTGATCTGCGCTCACTTATGAAGGACGAGCGTCTAGACAGTCTGATGATGCTAGGTATTCATCGTGCCCGTGGAAGTGCTCTTGACTTGGACTCAGTAGTAGACAGATTTAAGGCTAAGTTCCCGAAGAGTAGAATTGCTCTGTGAAACAATTTTGATTCTTGGACTTGAATTTTCGATATGTAGAAGTGCGTATTCCACCGCTTAGGTCTGTTCCTATAAAGTTACGTTGTGTTCCAGTTTTCCTTAAGTTCAGTTGGTTGCTTTTTATTTAAATTCATACTTTCCAAAGATAGGCCCTACTTGAATTGGCAACGTTTGATGAGTTGTAAAGATTTAGAGTAGTTTTAAGCTTATCTAGAGGCAGCTTTCAAAAAAAATTTCCAGGGACGCCGGAGAAGGGGGGCGCGGGGGGCAAGCGCCCCTCCTGCCCTTTGCTAGGAGGGGCAAGGGAGGGGGCAAACGTGCCCTTAGTAATATGTCAAAAAACGTAGTAAAAAACACGATTACACCATTTTGATAGCATTTTTAGCCAATCTAATGGGTGTAGCCACCAAAATTTTCCCGGGGGAGTACCCCCGGACCCCCCGAATTTTCGGCTCGCAACGCTCGCCTTCGGTCTCCAGTACCCTTACAATTCCTTGTCGCCCCCTACCCCTATCGTTCTCTAAAAAAATTAGCCCCTCCGTCGGAAGTGCTAGCCCCTTTGTCGGAGGAAACCTAGCGCCACCACTGTTCCTGCTTAAGAAATAACAGACTCCTAAGTAAGTTATTAATATTTTGTCAGTATAATTTAACCTTGAGCTTAAGGGGGTGCCCCATTAGTTTGAAAAGGTTCTCTTTAGAAGCGATGCCCCTGCTTTAGAGTGCCGAGCGATGCCGCTGATATAGAGAAGGGGGCAATGCCCCTGTTATAAAGAGCTGTTTCAGCGTCAATATTGATAAACTTAAAATCGAGGGATGTTGTTGGTTGTGAAAAGATACATGCTAAAACCATCAAAATATAGAGACGGAAAAAGAAATCAGTGTGCATAATTTTTATACAAGAAAACTATAGATTCGAGTGGGCGGTGTAGTGCTGGTGCTTGTTAATGCTGAAAATTAGTCGGTGTAGATTTTTGCTATTGTTTCTAATTGCTTTTAGCAACTTTATCTGCAACAGCCCCAATATTTTGAAAGGAATATACCACTGATACATATTATTCTATTTGTATTTGTTGCTACCTAGCATCCGAAGGTAGTTTTTAGGACACTAAGAAGCTTATGCTTATCGAGCAGTGTCCTGGTCCTTCCTCTCGTTGTGACCAGACCTCGTGATTCCAACGCCTGGAATTACAGAGAACTAGCGACTCTCCCCACTTTGGGTGAAAGTTTGGTCATGCCAGGGACTCGAACCACGGACCCTTGGGCTGTAGTCAGCGCCTCTAACAACTGAGCCATCCTCGCACTTGAACGGTATTCTAGCAACATTATGTGCAAGAGCCATATACCTCTGATTCACGTTATTCTACAATGTGATGATAAAAGAACGCAGACTACAATTACACGTAGAAGTGCAGTGTTATGAAAAGAACTACATTTTAGAGTTCTTCTTCTCAACTTTAGGCCATCTTTATTCAAAGGGCTCTTTTATGTTAAAAGCTTTATAAATAAAAAGAAAATCACCACGCTAGTCAAGTCAACAATGTATCCTCTCAGCTCTACATTAGAAAAAGGACCAAAAGCCTTTTTTTTCTTACTATTCAGTCAAGTTCTCTTGCTTTTTTTATATGAATCCAAAAAGCTTTGGAATAATCTGGATTTAAATCGTTCATTCGCGAAAACATGGCGTCGCACAAACACCTCCTGTTCGTGAAGAAGAGGATAGTTTTATATTAATCAATTTGCCATGCAACACATGAAGCCAGATACATGAAAATCATATTCAAGTCAAAAAATCTTGCAGCGAAGTTATTTTGAACTTACAGAGAGAAGTTTTCGTCATGCGTGGAGCAATCTGCGCTTTGCAGTCTTTTGTAATTTCCCTTGATATGCAAACGACTGACATCAGCTTCAGAATACACCATTAAATTCATTTTACAATGTATTTTGCTACTTCAAAAATCAAAACAAATGTTCATTTACTTGCTGTAAACCTACAAAATTGAATTTCACCATTACAAGCTTGATAATGACAAAGAAATGGTTGTACTGATGTTTTGGTGCGATTGTACAATACGCACTTTTTCACAATGAAATGTTTAATCACCGGAGGGTTGGAAGACAAAACTTGGGGGCCACATGACAACAAAGGATAGTATCAAGTCTATTGATCCTGTTTGTTGATCAGAACAGAGTAGAGCCTAGGCATATTAGTGTGATTGCAAGTTGAAGTGTGAATTTTTCTACGCAGCCTAGGGCCATCCAAATTTTGGGAGTGCAAAAGTAGAAAGAAGTGTTTTTTGAACAAAGAGATTACATTATTTCAATAACAAAAATGTAGTATTATCAAAGTTTGTGACAACGGACAAGTCCAGCTATCAAACAGCAAGGGAACACGATATCCTGGAACATTGAAGATTGAGCTCAGCTACAGATAGTTTCATTATCGAATGTTATTCCAAAGCATCAAAAACTCAACATTTCAGAAGTACACAACTCTAACAGCAGTTTTACAAAATGGCTCTTTGCTGTCAATCCTCCTATTAATCACAGCGCTAGCAGAGTTCTTCCATCCATTCTTAAGTATTGTGTTCCTAACACCCAAAAGAGTTCCAAAGTTTATCAATTGTCGTGCCAGTCTTTTTGTGGCTACGTAGGACGCACAACCGAAAGAATTGGGGGAGAGGGAGGATAAAACAACATGTTCCTTCCAACATAAGAAACAAAACTGCTACTTCAAGAGAACAGGCTATTCTGCCATCGGACAACATCTTTTAGACAACCCACGTCGTGCCAAAGACTATAATGAAGACTTTTTCAGATATTTGTCAGAGCCAAGTCATTTTTCTACATGGCTGTTTTGGAATCGACTTACATATAAACGGAAAAGGCCACTACTGTGTAGACCGAAGGAGTTCGTTTTCTCTCTAAGACTTTATCGATAATTTTCCTATAAGCACCCGGTACTGCTTTGTCAACTATACCGGTCTTCTGCTTGCGTTTTTCTGATTGGCCTATTTCCATTCACAACTGGGTATATATTTTCTATCCTGTTCTTTCAGAAACATATTCTGATCAATCAATCAATCAATCAATCAATCAATCAATCAATCAAAAACTTTATTAATGTGTCAAAAAATATTTAGCTTACAAGCTAATTAAGGACACTGATACTACTTAGATGAAAATGTTTGCTTTTTCCAAAGCCATTTTCTACCAGCACTGTTGTAAATGTTTTGCAGCACTGCGAATCTATATCAACAATAGAAGTTTCAAACAGAAGCAAACGTGACTAGAAATAATTTTGCAAAATAAGGTTCAAATTTTGCCTCAAGTAAAATTTTTGCAATCCTCATTCGATTAGGGGCACATTTCAAAACCAAAGCAACCTTGTGAAAACTTATTTCCATGAAAAACTTGTTTTTTATGTAAAAGGAAAATTTGTGAGTTTTACAGAGAATAGAGGCTTGTTTAGACATAAAACGAGCGACCATTTAACAAGATATTTGAGGGAAAGGAAAATATTCGTTTTCTATTTTGCCGTTTTTATGATGCAATTGGATTCTCTCCTCCTCCAAAAGAGCGATGACAACTGGCTACTCGACCAAAATTATTGGAAAGGAAAATAATTATGAAACTATGATGTGTTATGGTATCCGCCCATTAATTTTCTATTTTTACTTTGCTTAGCGATCGTGTTAGCGATCTGAAATAGCTTTCACTGTTAAGTTGAAAAAGATTTAGAAATGGAATCGAACGTTCTGGGACATGGATCTCGTGTTCATACGACAAACTCTTGCTCCATGTAAACGCAGGGCTTAGGATGTAAGTAATAATCCGGGGGGGGGGGCGTTGAGGACACTGACAGGCTCATATTGCCCATTCTGTTTTTCTTCATAAAAAGACTATAAGGCTTTATC